CTGAGACGCGTTTCGCTCCGTATTGTCCACATTCAGCGTCGCGACACGTCGGCCGAAAAAAATCGTACTAGACCGCGTGCCGACTTACAGCGTACACAAACACTGCGATCTGCGAGACACAATGACATACGCGCGCGCGCACACACGCTCAGCATCACATTGTATTCTATACACAGCTTTAAAATCAAGTTTTATTTCTATTTGTTGAATCCCAGTCATGTGATAATTGCATCTCCTCTCCAGCCTGAACCTCTTTTGCGCTACCGAACCAGAATTACCGACGAACTATATCCGCGCTCAAAAATTATATTGTTTCATGGCGCTTGAACAGAGATCTACCTATTCAAGGAAGAGAGAGATGCACTCCGTACCGAAATCTTTGATATACGCATTGATCAAAAGCGAAATTATTGTTGAGATAGAAATCCACGGATTGAGCATCGAAAGTATTTTAGATGAGCTACGTCATCGTCTGAGTACATTCGTGGACAAAGGGGAGTTGTCAGGTTCGTGCACTGCCGGCGCCCCTGCGAGAGATAGGACGCCATGTATCTGAAGCATCCACAGCGACTCCGAATAATGAGAGCATACATTTGTTTATGAATACAGCCCCTCCGATCGGCCTGCAAAAATTATCAACCAAATGCGTAAATAAGGATTTTAATTTGAGCGAAATGATCTGTAGATATTTTTAGAACGCGTAGAAGAGCTCAAAGATGATTATGAGCTCACTGATTATTTACCAATTCTTCAAAGAGTTGTCAGTTGTTAAAAGGAGATGTATAGATGTCGAGTAAACCGCAAACGTTGGGAAATCTGGGACGAATTTGTCAGTAGTTTTAAAGCCGCATTCTTACCACACGCGGACGATTTTCAATTATTATAAGACACGCCTTATCGGTGTCTTATAATAATTGAACTTATGGACAAAATTAGGTTTGACGATACCGCCCCCCCCTTCACTTACAAGCAGTCAACTAGGCATTGTGACTGCTGCATTGGCGGAAGGGATCACGCAAGGAATCGAGAAAGAAACCAAACTTTTACAAAAATTTCTTGAAATTGAATTGCTATAATTCGATACCGTACAAGATCCCACCAGTTTTGCATAACATATTCGTATCAACCGGGAATCAGACCGATTAAATAGAGATATCCCCCCTCCTCTCCCGAAATCCAGCCATGCAAGCTATCATCGACGACGAAGTCGAACAAATGCAAAAAGACGGTGTGATCGAGCTAGTGACGAGTCCCTGAAGGTCTCCAGTTGTAGTTCAGTCAAGAAAAAAAAACGGAAAAAATAAGTTTTGCATAGATTTTCGCCAGTCAACGAAATCAAATAAATTCAATACGTATCTCCTGCCACAAATCATTGCGACAATGAATAAATTACGAAGGACGCGATATTTAACGACCTTCGATCTAAAAAATGGGTACTGATAAATACTGCTTACACCCGACACAACAAGCTCATTATCGCCTTTACAATACCCGGGAAAGATCTTAATCAATTTATCAACCGCTTGTTGAGGCCACAGGCATATCACATGGCACAGTGATTTCAATTTTGCACGAACAATTGGGTATGAAAAAGTTATCGGCAAGATGGGTGTCGCGTTTGCTCACTGTGTAAGCGCGATCGTGTGACAATTTCAAAACAATGTTTGGAGATATTTCAACATAATCTAGATGAATTTCTGCGTCGATTCATTACTGTGCACGAAACATGAATCCATTATTTCACACCCGAGACGAAGGAACAGTCAAAACAATGGACTTCACCGAGTGAACCAACTCCGAAGAAGGTGAAGATTGTGAAGTCAGCCGGAAAGATGATGGCCACAGTTTTTTGGGATGCAACGCATGCAGTATAATTCATATCGATTATCTTCCGTCGAAGCAAACGATCAATGGCGATTACTACGCAGCTTTATTGGACCATTTCAACAACATTTTAAAGAAAAAACATCCCCATTTGGGGAGAAGAAGAAAATACTCTTCCATCAAGACAATGCACTGATTCACACATGCCCGGCACCGATGGCCAAATTCAACGAATTCCGCTACGAATTGTTTCCCCATCCAGCATATTCGCCAAATTTAGCCCTCTGCGACTATTTCCTGTTTCCAAATCTGAAGAAATGGTTCGGAGGAAAAAGATTCACTACCAGAGAGCAGCTCATCGTCGAAACAGAAGCTTATTTTGAGGGGTTGGATAAATCATATTATTCGGACGGCTTGAAGAATCGTTGAATCAAGTGTATCATGCTGAAAGGAGACTATGTTGAGAAATAAAAATGAATCGATCAAAAAGAATGTGTTTTACTATGTTTTTCTAAAACTTATTGACTTCGTAGATTTGCGGAATCCCACACTATCCTTGGGTTTCGCCATTTCTTCCCCCTGTCTTCCCCCTCCCTCATGGTGAGATGATTACTTCGGGAATCATCACTCCATGGAGGGATTTACGAAGATTTTCTCCACACCAAAAATAAAAAAGGTTAGCACAATTCAAATATGCAATCTTATGATATTTAAATATAGTGATACGTATTAGGTATACAACTTTGCTTCCGCCGTTTTTTTTCTGAAATTCGAGGTTTTATTGTAAAAAACTGGTTATACATTTATGATTCAAAGTATTGTCCATAGCTGGCCACTACTTTCTCCTATCTTTCGGGCAGCGTACGAATCCCGCGTCGAAAAAACTGGTCATTTTTTGAGGCGATCCACGAATCGATCCAATTTTTTACTTCTTCATAAGACCGGAAGTGCTGATCAGTCAGATCGTGTGCCATTGATCGAAACAAGTGATAGTCAGAGGCAGCAATGGAAAATATGAGGTGGGAGAATATGGAGAATAGCAGGTGGGGTAGGACTTCCCATTTCAACGTTTCCAAGTATGTCTTGATCACTTTCGCAACATGGGGTCTAGCATTGCCATGCTGCAAAATCATTTTATCGTGTCTCTCGTTATATTGCGGCCGTTTGTCTTTCAATGCTCGGCTCAAACGCATCAATTGCATTCGATGTCACCTGTGATTGTTTCAGTCGGTTTTTAACAGCTCATAATACACTACGCCTAGCTGGTCCCACCAAATACAGAGCATGATCTTGGAGCCTTGAATATTCGGTTAGTCAACATGGAAGCATGGCCGGGAACTCCCCATGATTTTCTGCGCTTGGGGTTATTGTATGAAATGAACCCATTTTTCGTCCCCAGTCTGCGATGCAGAAATCCCTTCCGTCTTTGCCTTTCAAGCAGCTGTTCACAAGCAAACAAACGCCGTTCAACATCTCTCTGCTTCAACTCGTACGGCACCCAATTTCCTTGTTTTTGAATCATTCCCATGACTTTGATGCGTTTTGAAATGGTTGTTGAGTCACTCCCAATGATCGTGCCAATTCTTCTTGATTTTGACACGAGTCTTGATCAAGTAATGCCTCCAATTCTGTATCTTCGAAAACTTTTTCTCTTCCGCTATGCCGGTCTTCGACGTCAAAATCACCGTTCCTGAAGCGTTGAAACCATTCACGACACGTTCTTTCACTAATAGCGGCCTCACCATAAGTATTTGAGACCATTCGATGAGTCTCAGCCGCAGATTTCTTCATATTGAAGCAGAAAATTAAAACTTCCCGCAAATGACGAGAATTTGGCTCGTAAACTGACATTTTCAATCGAGAATAACTTTATGATGCAGACACAAATCGACTAATGTTATGTTGACAGATGCCCAAGTTTATTCTATGATCTATTTATTTCGACCACCACTTACCGCTAAAGCCTATAGGAAAACGGCGCAAGCAAAGTTGTACACCTAATATATGAGCGATTTTTATTCGGAATTGTCAAAAATTTTTTTATCATAACTTCTGTTGTCATTATTTAAAGGTACCATTTTGGCACAATATTAACACAGCCTGCATAATCATGAAAATTAAAAAAATCGTAAAGTGGGAACTGGCCTAAAAAAATCATTTCTTAAAATTTCCTAATGTATTTTTCATATTTTGACTTTAATATTCAGGCACAATGTAGCACAAACTTATCACAATTCAGCACAATTCTCAAAATATGTTAATCCAAAAATAGAGGGCTAACTTCTTGCAGACCAAGAAATGTATATTGTTGTGTATATGTTATATACACATAACTCAAATAATGGATATTTTTTTAGTATAAAACTTGTGCTTACAGATTAATACCTCATAATCCAAGAATTATTCATCTTTTCATGGTTACACTTTAAAGAAGTCATATGATTTACTGTGGGTTAAAATGACCCGAACCATTTTTGAAGCGTTATCAAATCAATAGTATTCCTCTAACTTCAAAAAATTACAGTATATAATTTCATCCTTTAAGAAAGTGGAACAATTATAGTGAAAAATTTAATTTTAACACTAAAAAAAATCGTTTTAACTTCAGCAAACTGAGTCTTTTTACTTAAAAAATTATAACTTTTTAAATTTATAATATTTTCAAATGCAGTACTCGCCTAATCCTCTTGAGATGATTTTTAGTATCATGAACTCACGGTGATCATAAAGGATTTTTGGGCTTTATGTCTATGACATAATCTTTTTTTCACTACATCATAAGCTATATATCATATATGGAAACTTATTTCACTGGAAACTCAACTCAATTTTCCATACAATTAGCGCAAGATCCTTTATCTCTTTACAATTTTTTGTATGCTACACATATTTCAATAAGATTTAAGATGATCTTATAGATTCGAAGTCGAAAAAGATTTTTTATTCATAAATCGCTAGTTATAACTCTTCGAGAATATGTTCCTAAAATTTTAGAGCGAAATTCGAAGTCCTTCGAATAAATTTAACGCTTGTATATACGGGTGCATGGCGCGCAGGTATAATAAGTAATTAAAAAACATTTTGTTATTATACACTCGTCAACAAAATTATCGCATACATAAATTTATAATAAAATTTCGCATAAATTCAAACAAGCGTAACTTTGCGAAAAATGATCGCATTTAAAAGTTTTTTTTTATTTTCAAGTATGTATCAAGTATGTCTGTACTTTACAAAGTTACTTTACAAATGGATTTTGAATCTATCCTTGTCCCTTGGCATCTTTTCAAAAATAAGAACGAATTTTTTTTAAGACATTTGCACAGTTTGATGCACTCTACGGGATGAAGTAAATTTTTCTCGTAAATATCAAGATAACCATCGAAAAGTATGAACTTTTCTTGTACAAGTTTAAAAAAAATTAAGTTTTGTACGATTTTTTTTCGAGGAGATACGATGTATCAAACTTAGCAATGCATTTTATTCAATTACCGCCACCATTAGCATTTCCCGATATGCACCATGGGAAGGTTGCTAGTCTGATTTTGTGCGCGTGCGCGTGTGTATGTGTGAGGGAGGGGAGGGAGGGAAGAGTGGAAGTATGTGGGATTATTTGGGGTATATTTGCTCTTTAAAATTGTGTATTTCCGCCTCGTCTTTGAATGTTTTTTCCACGAAGTTAATTGCAATTTTAGCGGTATGTAGGTGAGCATTATCCTACATCATAATAAAATATTAAGATGCTACCATATCCATCAATAAACGCGGATTTGAATCCCATTGAATATGTATGATCGGAAGCCTATGAAGATTTGAAGAACAATTAACAAATTTGCAGCCACTGGAAGCAGCATTGCATCAAATATGGGAAATTCTTCACAGGCTTCAATTAGAGCTTGCATAAGTGCATATTTACAAGAGATCATCCAAAGACGAGGCGGAAATACACAATTTTAAAGAGCAAATATATTCCCACATACTTCTGCTCTCCCCACACACATATACACAAACACACGCGTGCGCGCGCACGTAAAATCAGACTAGTAACCTTTCCGTAGCACCGGGTAATGTTAATATTGGCGGTAATTGAATAAAATGCATAAATAAGTTTGATACACTATATCTCCTCGAAAAAAATCGTATAAAACTTAATTTTTTTTAATTTGTAAAAGAAAAGTCCATACTTTACGAGGGTTACTATGACATTTATGAGAAAAATTTACTCCACCCCAAAGCGTCAAACTATGCAAAGGATCCCGCACGTTTCTTATGGAAAAATGTCTCCGGTTAAATTGCTCCATTTTGAGATATGTTGTACTTTTGTGATTCTGAACAAATATCTCCATTGCCACATTTACATAAAATCAACAGATAAAAAGATATAGCGCTTTGAAGTCACAGAATTTGAATGCCGCCATATCTTCTTAAAATAACTTGATGCTTTCTTTTATATGTATTATAATATACATATACAATGTGTTTATTTAATGTGAGTCCTCTCGCCTCCCACATCGGGATACTTGTTTAACGTGAGTACCCTCGCCTCCCACATCGAGGTGCTTGTTTAACATGAGTTCTCTCGCCTCTCACATCGGAGTGCTTGTTTAACGTGAGTCCCTTCATCTCTCACATTCAACCTATTTATCTATATCATCCTATTCTTGATTATTCCTATCAATATTCATAATTCGATTTAAGACAGTTTTGCTTGGATATTTCACATTAAGCTGATGTCGTGCATAGCTCAAAAACCATATAATACTCGTTAGATGAGCGCAACATTCCAAGATTCTTGCATCAGTTTTATATGCAATAATATCCTAGAATCGATTCTCTCTCTCTCTCATCATCCTCATTATCCAGTTGATGAGCAATCCATATTTGATATTTAATTTAATTGCGAAATCGTGAATATAATCTTATTTGTATAAAGCCCGATTCATCTCTATCTTTATCAAATTCGAAGACATCAGTTGCCTCTATATCGTGTTTATCTTGAATATAAGATGGCACCAGTCCTATTTGATAAATATTGAACATTAATTCTTCCAATAATTCATATCACATCTTGGAAAATTCTAGGCATGATTCTCATTTAATTTGTTCTATACAGCATTCTTCCTAAAAAGATTCTCCTGTTCTACTCTTGCTTGCACATCGTTTGGAGTATTGACTTTTTCAATTATTCTATGAGTAAACTCTACAGTAGCTTCTTCCATTAATATTAAGTTTCGGTAGCGATTTATTATTGCCTCAGCTATAAGATAGAAGTCTCGTAGTGGAATATGTGCCGTAGAAATGATGCTATCATGTCTCAAAATGGAATATTGTTTTAATGTGTCCATTTCGAGCTTCAACTACTCACCTAGATTTTGTAATCAATCGAGATTCATTAGCTGCCTTTGTAGTATGTTGAAATTCACCTCTTTTGAGGACAGGTGGAATCTTACAATCAATTCCTTCTTCTTCCAAAAAAGGACATCACAATAACCCTCTGTCTGCAATGATTATGTCTTTTTGTAACCTCTAAGTCCATTAATCGTCAAATTCTTCACTTTTAAGAATTGCTGCATTGTTAGAATTATATCAAGAATAAATTCATCAGGAGCAACTACAAGTACAGGTTTAACTAGATGACGCCTTTTATGCATAGAGAATTGCCTTAAAGTTTTAAAGTTAGATGATTTTTCCATATATTATATTAGATCCTATTATATTAGAATATTTGAAAATTACTGTCAAGAATTCATCGGAAGATTGTAATGCATTTTAGAAATAGTAATAAGTCTTTTTTGGAAATATATCTGAGTGTATCATTAACAGCAACAAGAACGCAAAAAGTAAACATTTTTTCAAATTGTTCTTTTGATATGGGACTTATTACAGAAAACTCATCAACTAAAAGCATTTATATTATCAAAAACAGTTCGGTTATTATCATTTATTTGTTTACAAAGACCCTGAAAAAATTGCTTACCTCAGTACCGTTTAAAGCTTGTACGGTCGATTGATAAATCGTAAACCCGATTATAAGATTGTCAAAAGATTCCCCTCGTTATCTAAATGACGTTCACAGTATTGAGTTGATATAAAAATATAAATATTTGTAACGATAAAAACTTGAATCCTACATTTTAAAGATAAATGACGTAATTGTGCAAGTGCAGTTATTAAAATACAAGATTATTAAAATACAATCATACCAGAATTAATCCTAATTTTCTTTAGAATATTAAGTCTTAAGCATTTGGATCACACTCTAAGTCTTCTATTGCCGCATTTAAAATGTTATCGTAGTTAACACAAACAGAAGAATTAACATTTATGTCAGCTGGAGATTTCTTCAGATCTTCTTGATGAGTTATGCACAATTGAATTTTCTGTTGCTGAAATATATTAATCTGTTTCATTACACGCATGACACAAGTTTGTTCACATATATAACATAGAATTCTATTACGATAGAATTTCATACTAGAACGTTCATTCTTAATTATGTATTAATACGTATATAATAATTATATATAGATAAACCGTTTTGAAGATAAAATATAATTCGTGCAAAATCTATGTTTTCGTGGTGATCGCTTATTTTGTACTGTGAGTTGCGATTTACTTACAAGAAAATACGCGATTTACTAAATGTAAACAAAGCGCGCAGCGGTTGTTCGCGTGCGACATGCAATCACGCGCGAACGTCATGCGAGTAACCAGTCACATATGAGACAAAAACAAGAATAAGGAGAGTAAGAGGACAAGGTAATGAATGTGTGTATACGCGGAAAATTCCATTCAAAAATACATGCGTATGTATACCTATTACATATAAAAAAAGTCATCAAGTTATCTTAAGAAGATATGGCGGCACTCAAATTCTGTGACTTCAAAGCGCTATATTTTTTTATCTGTTGATTTTATGTGAATGTTGCAATGGAGATATTTGTTCAGAATCACAAGAAGTACAACATATTTCAAAACGGAGCAATTTGACCGAGGACATTTTTCCATAAGAAACGTGCGCGGTCCTTCCTTTATATTATATATATATATATATATATATATATATATATAAAACATCTTTTATTTTTTAAAAAATGTCAGGTAGGGGTAAGGATAGATTTAAAATCCTTAATAATTGAAAGCTTTGCAAAGTACTTTACCCTTGAAAATGAAAAAAAAAAACTTTTATATGCGACCATTTTTCGCGGAGTTACGCTTATGAATATTTGAATTTATGCGAAATTTTGATATAAATGTATCTATGCGATAATTTTGACAAGTGTAGCTCTAAAGTACTTTCGAAGCTGTTCAATTTTCATTCTGGAAAATATTTTTATCTCTTATAGTTTCGATATTCACTTCGAAAGAAGAAAAATGATTTTTTTAGGAGGTTTTACCTCCTAAATCTTGAGATAAGTACAAATAAGAAATATAGATCTAATATCTTTTCAACATATCCAAAATGCTATGAAATTAATTCACTACGGCAGTGTATAAATACTCATTAAAATCAGTGAGGATCGATTCTCTTGTTAGTAGTACAAGAGAAGTCCAAGTAACTCGTAGAATACTCAAATGCTCAAAATGAATTCCATGAGGAGGTTGAAGATTTATTGTATATTCTTGGAATAACAGATTAGCCTCCGAGCACTGTAAGTATTCAAGAAATAAATTGAAAACTTTAAATGCGTTTTTCTCAAAATCTGTTTTTTGCATTCTTCAACTTTTTTTGTGTATGCAATTGAAAAAAAAGTATTTGATCAATTCACTTTTTACAGGGCTCGTTAGTTAGTTAATAATCAACCAATTCTTGATGAATCTAAAAAATTAAATAAAAATCAACATTAATATTTTTTTTGCATAAAAAAACTACTACTTAGTGAAGATCGTAACTTTTTTTTTCAAAGTCGCACAAAATTTTAATTTATATATTTTAAAAAATTTTTCAGATTTATTTAAGATGAAAGGCTATAGCAATTACAATATTTCTTAATTTTTTGTTTTCAACAAAAATTATACCCACTAGGATGTATTTTTGTTGGAAAACCATAACGTTGTGGCAAGGCGCCAAACCAAATATTTATATTTTTATAATACTTTTTTTTACACTTAAAAATTTATGTGTATTCTACAATAGTTATATTAAAACGTGCAAAAAGTTCCTAAACGGTAAATATTAATCATTTTTTTGAAAAAATTCATGAAAAATCACCATTTTTTTCGGTTTTTTAATGTATGAGACTTCCTTAAGTATTTGTAATATTTTGTGAAAAAATAAATCTAAGCAATAGGTATGTTTCGCGTCGCACAAGTTCACTCACAGCTACGTTGATCTTGTGTATTAGCATTATGTCGGTATAAATCAAATTAGCGGACATACTAATACACTTGCGTAAAATCTGGTTACACCGGATTGCTGCGCCGGGAAAAATCTCGCTCCTAACGGATGGCGCAACGGATCCGTGACTTTCGCTTACCGCGGCTTGGTGATGATCTCTCTGCAGCTCAGACGCGAAACTTTTCAATGGGAAGAAGTAATAGTTGTACATTGGTTTGACCGGTAGCTGCGGATGACCAGTCTCGGACGGCGTGTTGCCGTTGCCATTGCCGCCCGCGGCATTAAGAGTATGCATCAACGACGCTACGCTGATCGCTGACCCTTTTTCCAAGGCCTTTTTGTATAATGCGGCCAATTCCGCTCGTGTGAACGCCAGCGGCTCCGGTTGTTTCATCTTCGGGTGACTAGTCACAGCGGTGGAGTCGCGTACCTGGAAAATTTGCAAACATCAGTCGCCTGCCTGACATTCAGATTAGAGAAGAAATTGATAAATTAACGTTTTAAACAATTAACATTTTAAACAATTAAAATAAATAGTCAGAGATAGAAGAAATAATTATGAATAATTATTATTTTCAGGTTACTAGAAAGGAATAATTAAAGTTGAAAAAACATTGAAATTAAAGAAATCTGCTTTTAAAAAATAGAAATAAATGTTAAGGAATATTAGGTTAGGGAAAAAGTTTTTTTACAAATTGGAAAAACTTTTTTAGCAACCAATATATTCTATTTAAAAAAAATTGGTAATTACATCATTTGATAGAGCAATCTCAGCTTTAAAAATCTATATTTTTAATTGCGTTACGATGATTTTGAATGGAATTACGAGCAATAAAGTCAGAATGTTCCTTTTTACTTAATTTGCAAATAACTCAAAAACAAAAAATCGTAGGAACATTAAAAAAAAAACGATTTTGTAGGGGAAGCTTCAAGCTTTTATGATAGATAATCGAAAATTTGCTCAAAATTTTTTTTAAGTACAGATCTATAAAGTGAGAAGAAATTTTTTATTTTTTTTCAGTTTGTAGTTTTAATATGTAAAAATTACAAAATTTATTTAACATAATTTAACATAAATTAAAAAAATACAATAACCATTTGAAAGTAGAGATTTCAAGTTTTAAAATCCTTTTTATTAATTTAAATTTTAATTATTTTTGAGAAAGATATATTATATTAATGGGGAAATGTCTTTTTACTAACTTGTAAAGGGACTTTTTCCTTAACCCAATAAAAATATCGCAAAGAATTATCAAATTTCTGAATTACCAAAGATTAATAACAAAATTAAAAAGGAGTTTAAAAATGATGAAATTAATATTTCAAAAAGTTAAAAATAAAAAAATGGAAAATGATAGAAAAGACAATTATAAATAATGTTCAAATTTTCAGATTACTAATGATCAACAATTTAGAGAAAAAAATTGAATTTAAAAAAATCGATTGTTTAAGCATTATAATAATTAAAAAAAGATAGAAAAAAGGCAAAGGATCAAATTTTTAGATTACTAAAAATTAATAATTAAACAGAGAGTGAGATTAGAAAAGATAATTTAAAAAATAATAATAATAAATATAAAAGATAAAAAAAGAAATGTGAAGAAATAATAATCACGTTTTCAATCTGCCAAAGATTTAAAGTGCATTTATAAGATAAATCTCTATGAGAATTTCTTCTAATTTATCCTTTTCATTTCTTTGTAAATTAGATTCGTTTAAGTACTGTGTTTAAATATTTATACGTACTGCGTAATGCTGTATAATGCTGCCCGCGGGTTCGACAGGCACATCTGCAATTGTCTTTTGCACGCCTTGATGGACATTGTTGATACTGATCTTGCGATGCCTGTTGTAATCATGATAGCCCTGCTGATAACCTAGGTTCATCGACGACAATCGATCGTACATCGTTAGACTATTTGAAGGCACATTTAATTCCTGAAGCTCAATCATCGCCTTCTGAAGATATTCGCCACTCGATTCAGCGACGCAAGATCGTGCGTTGATAATGATCAGTGAGATTAATACAACGAATTGCGTTGCTCGAGAGCTCCGTAATAAATTCATGCCGAATTGCTTTTATGGAGTCTTTTCATCTATCGAAAAAAATCGTCTGATTTAATAATTTGTTAATACGTTGTGTTTGTTATTCCTTTTACATTTCTTTTACTTTATTTCACTTTATTATATTTCTTACATGTACACTTATAATAAAGCATTTAAAATGTATAAATTTATATCATATATCTTATAATGGAAGACCTGACTTTTATTGAATTCGATGAAATTTGATAATATTAATGAATTTCTATAAATATAGTGCAGATGACCTTATTTAGAAGCCGACGATTAATCGTTTCTAAAATATTCTATTTGATAAAATTCATCGAAAATCGAATGTCTCGAATCTCTCGAAGTATATTATTGCCTCTTTCCGGCAATGCTTATTGGTTCTCTCCATGCGCTTACTTTGTGAACGGTTATACTGTTTACAATACAACTGTTTCCTTCACGAAATAAGTGCATGAATTTTGTCAAAAAGAAGAATTATAATATAGTGAAGTTACAGTGAAGTTTAATAACGTCAAATGCTAAATAGCGTGTGCGTAGCGCACGTTTGTTTTGTACTAATTAAAGAAAAAAATCTAAAAATGGCTGAAATTAATCCAAAGCCAATACCTAAAAATTTAATATGTCAACAAATTAAAAAATATATATTATATATATATATATATATATATATATATATGTATGACAATTTACATATACCTGACCATACAAAAATATAAAAACAAAAATGCAATATTAATTTTTAGTTTTTTTCTAAATATTGTACATCTTAAAATGCAATATTTAAATTACTTATAATAATATCATGCATCTGTATTTCCTATATCGTTGTAAAAGTTATTTTTCTCTTTTGTATATTTTAAGAAACAGTGTCCTTTACGTGTTGATTTAGGATTAATTGTGACCATTTTTAAACTTTCTTCTTTAATATTGCAAACGACTTAACTGTCTGCCCTAAAGAATATCATTGTATTCGGGAGAATTTAGTTTATATAATTCTTCCAATTAAGAGTTTCATCGAAATTGGCGCAAAGATCAGTTTACTGTCTTCTCTTGTTATTATTTAACGCTTTTTTAAAAAACGATAAATTGTTTAAAATACAATATTTTATTTAATAAAATTGCTGTAAATCCTTTCGTGTTTGGTGGGACATGAGGCATTTCACGTCAAATTGGACATCTTTGAAAAATCGTCATTTTTAATTTTTTTTTTAAATTTGCTGACATATTCTACAAATAAAAATATAACATATGTGTATCGCGAATAAAATTTGAGATTTTTTTGGTAAAGTTATTCACGCTTGTAAATTGCAAAAATTCATATAAAAACGTCGCTCAGGCGAACATTTAAATTATTATATCATCGAAATCATTAATTGTACAAAAAAATGCAAGAGATCAATTTTAAAGATCTTACATTGTTCTATGGATGGGTTATTTTTAATTTATCAGATAAATCATTTTTCATTTATTTACAATTTTTAACATTTTTCATCATCGATTCACCAATTAAAAAATTTTGTAAAAATATCATTATATTCCCACTTCAATTATGAAGTGTAATCCTAAAAATTACAAAATGGAACTCGAATGGAAAATGATAAATTAAAAATAACCTATCCATAGAATAATTTAAGATCTTTAAATTTTGTCTCTTGCATTTTTTGTACGACTAATGTTTTCGACGATATAATAATTTGAATGTTCGCATGAGCAACGTTCATGAATTTCTGCAACTTACAAGCGTAAATAACTTCACAAAAAAACGTTAAACTTTGTGTGTGTGTGTGTGTGTGTGTGTGTGTGTGTGTGTGTGTGTGTGTGTGTGTGTGTGTGCGTGTGTGTGTGCGCGCGTGTGTGCGCGTGCGCGCGCGAAACATGTGTTTCATATTTTTATCTGTAGAATATGTCAATAAATTAAAAAAAAAATTAAAAATGACGATATTTCAGAGGTGCCCGATTTGACATGGAATGCCTCATATGTATGTCATGATTCTTTAAAAAATATCTTTCACAAAAATAAAAATAGCTTCTTTTTAGGCTTATTTTAAAGATAAAGCATAGGACTCTTTATAAAAAAATCAATATCCTCATAAATTTCACTCTTTGATCTGCACACTTCGTCAAATATTCTAATTATATAATTATATAATTATAATATATATTATAATTATAAAATGGAATAAAAGTTAAAAATACATATATCTTTCGCAAAAATTAAGATAGCGAATTTTTTCTGCGCTCATTTTGAAGGACAATAAATGTTATATACAAATAAATCGCTATTTAATTTCAAATTACGAATTCAATATGACAGACTAAAATGATAAACTTTGTTGTAAGTTGTAATGTTTTGAGGTCGTTAATGACGAATTTGTAGTAAAAAATTCAACATTTAAAATGATCCCACTTGGCAGATTAAATTTTGTTAAATTTGAGTGAAACTCGAGACACTAATTACGAATTTAAAGTCGTAATTTTTAAATTCAAGATGTCAGATCTAATGCAGATGAGAAAATAAATAAAAAAGGCTGAATCAGTTTACATTTCATAGGAATTTCTTGAAGCATGGGATAGAGGATGTGGGAAATAAAATTTAATTTAAATTGAAGAAAATTTTACATTTTGGTCCAACATTGGATCTGCCATTTTAAATTTTGAAATTTTGATTACAGATTCATAATCAGCGACTTTTAAAACCTTTATTAAGTAAGATATGAATTAAATGCTAATTATTCTTAGGAAAAAAGTCAGGCTGAAAAGAGTTAAAATACTTTTTTTTAAATTCTTTTCAAATTTTAGACAAAAATACTATATATATATGTGTATATCTGTAAATTAATGTTCTTATAAATAATTTTAATAGAATAATTAAAAATTAATTGATAATTAATAATTGATTATTTAATTTTGATGATGAAAAGTATTGTGTATTTACATATAGCAAGAGGATTTCTTACGTGTTTATTATATAATGTTCTAATCTCCACGATATTGATATCGTTGTAATACATTTTCACTTCCGGAAGTCACTTATGCTTTACAAATTATATGTATATTTCACAAAATATAAAAATAAGAAATATTTATCAACATTAAGTATCATCTCTTTCGATTTCTGAACGATGCAAAGATTAAAAAAAACCGGATGTGATGCAGAAAATCGGACGATCGTACGAGTTACTGTATTACGTGATAAATGACACACAAAAGTGTTACATCATTTTGAAATTAACATTGCTTTTAATTAAGATGAGATAATATTCAAAGTCACGCATGCAAGAGGATCAGGTTTCTCCTGCGAGAGAAAGAAAGACAGGAAAAGTGAATATAAGCAGCACATCATCAACGGAATCAATTTACAATTTATTTACACGAAGGGAAGAGATTTTCCTTTGCGGGTCGCTCCGGCAGATATATGTGCAACAGTCCACGATAATCAAAGGATCAAATAAATTGACCTATGCATCGCTCTTGAAATGCACGCACGGATGCCTCGCGGCGGACGTACGTCGCAGCCAGAAAACTTGTGCGTACTCGATCGAGGTGAATCGTCGCACTCGTTCGCGAAGATACTATCGCGGACGCACTGAATTAACTTCCTTCACCGGTACATATCCCCTTCCCTTAGGTACATGTTTGAATTCTCGAGAATGGACACTGGACTACTAAAAACTTCCGGCTGAATATACAATTCGGTGAGAATAAATGAATAAAATCAATCTAGTATAAAAAATCAGTTCAAAAAATTATAAAATTAAAAATCAAAATTGAAACTATAATATAATATATTCGTATTAACCTTAAATCGAATTTTATACAATAGTCGGTCTTTAAAATTCCATTAGAGAAGACCGAGGCTAATAAGTAAACTTTTTAGTTTTGAATTTTTTCAGAAAACTTAAAAGTTTATTCAAAAAAATTCTATATCAGTTACTACATATATTTGACTACCTAATATTTTAATATTAAGCATTCGAATCAGATGATTGCGTTGTTCATAATGGTTGCAAGACAATCGTAAGTAAAAAATTACAAAGTGTCATGAAATACGTAAAAAGGAAATAATCGTGGAGCAGTCATTATTTTATTTCACTTTAAACATTTAAGTTCCGTTACTATACATGTAGAAAAGAAATCATACTTTTGATTTTTAAAAAATAAAAAATTATTTTGGAAAAAAGGAAAATAATTATTTTTTAATTGATGATCCAGCAAATTACAACGTTACGTAATATTACACGAATGTCAGAATCGTTACATATAATATTATTTGTAACGATAAACATAACATGTATTAATACAGCTCTATGTCAGCAACATTTCACTTTTTTAACATATCATTTCTGTTCCTATTATTCTTCAGAAATATACCAATAATATATTATTGTAATGTAATATAAATGTCTTTTTAATATATTTCTAGGTACAAGTGATAAAAATTGACGCTATGGATAGTAAAAAGTGAAAAAAGCGTCTTGTCTGTAACATTCAATTTTGAACTGATCATGAGTAATCTCATGAATGATCTGCAGGGCTACGTTCAGGGAGACATTATAGCTATTTATGTTATTCTGTCTATATTATTCATTAGATGTTAAACAAGAATAAAACGATCAAAAAATACTAATAGCATCTTCTAAACATCTCTGCATGATTAATAGTTGGATAAATTCAATGTATCTGTAGTATTAAGAGTGTGATTTAGTTTTGTGGGTTTTTTCCCAAAAACTGATTTATTTAAATAACATATCATGTAACTGTTGTACCATCAACATTTAATTCTCTAGCAAGTTCTGAAGTGGATTGTGTTGGATTTTCGTCCAATAATGCTTATAATAATGCAAATCTGCATTTTTAAATTTTTGTTGCTGAATGACAATGAAACCACATTTGAATCGGCAAAACCAATATTCATGTCTTAATTGATGGAGCAATCACCATAAATTTCTATCAGAGTCCTATGACCTTTAATCACCGTTTTTTTTTATTAAAAAACAAAATGTTCTTTAGGAAGCTCCATTTTTTAAATGGTACAAACACGATGTTTACTGAATCTATTGTTAGTGAACGACTAAATATCATGGAGTAATATTAAAGCATTAAAAAATAATAGCTGATTAGAATGTCATCAACAACACTGACATTAGTATGTGCCATTTCTTGCAAAACTCTCAAAACTAAATCACATTCCTAATACGTATCCTCTTATATTATACATATCAGTTATATAATATTCGTTAAATTGGTAAAAGATCACAGTTGTTATATTTATGTTATGTCTACAGACATGTTATTTATTAAAGTGATTTATCAAACTTTTTTTATTACAAAGAAATATTTTAACACGTGTTAAAATTAAGTTTTTGAAAGCATGTTTGAACTTAGATTTGACTCCACCGCATCTTAATAATATTAATACAACATTAATCTATTCCATCAAAATTCTACAATGAAAAAAATGCAGTTGGTGTGGATTAGTAAGAACTGTTCTAATTAGATGAATATCACAAAATTGCAACATGTATATTCAAGTATTGTACTATTGGTTTATATATGGTTGTTCACGAAATCTTCGATTGAAAAAAGATTGATTTTATATAAAGACTTCTAAATTGTATTGATGATTTTGAAGATTTGTAATATTATTTAACATTGAGAATGATTTAATAATAGATTGAAACGTTTGATTATGATTTATATTTAATTTATTAAAAATTTTAATTATTAGCACATAAGAGCTAGTACCATCGTTTGATTTATTAGCCCTCGATTTTATAAATATTTTTGAATTTATCCAGTTGTTTTATAATTATTGGTAATTTATGTTATGTATTTTGAGAGTTATATGTGTTAGATTATATTTTTAAATAATTATTCTGATTATATAATATAATAAAAAAATATATCTTTGTTTTTTCTCTTAAAATTACACTTACATATCTCCTGATCATGAAATACACTACGCAAAAAAATTAAAGGCTCACCTAGTCTTCAAAAATTTAAAAGAGTGTAATTTTGTCAAAAATGATCATAACAAAATTTTTAAAAAAGCTTAAAATTACACTTACATATCTCCTGATCATGAAATACACTACGCAAAAAAATTAAAGGCTCACCTAGTCTTCAAAAATTTAAAAGAGTGTAATTTTGTCAAAAATGATCATAACAAAATTTTTAAAAAAGCTTAAAATTACACTTACATATCTCCTGATCATGAAATACACTACGCAAAAAAATTAAAGGCTCACCTAGTCTTCAAAAATTTAAAAGAGTGTAATTTTGTCAAAAATGATCATAACAAAATTTTTAAAAAAGCATTTTAAAGCTTGAAATATCTACTTTCAAGATCGGTAATTGATATATCGATCAAATTGATTTTTTTACGGAATTATACGAAGAGAAATCCATCAAATCTGAAAATTTTGTACGAAGTTTACAAAGTTTCTACGGCGTGAAATAAAAATCGCACACAAATATTCGGTTTACAGTTGTTGAAAGAGGGAATCTTTATCTTCAATTTGCTTTTTTATTGAACGTTGTATGATTTTTTTTCAACGAATTATTCAACATTAAAGTAAAAGGGATTATTTTTGCTCCAATATTGAATAACTTGTTGAAAAAAATCGTACAATATTCAATAAAAAAGCAAATTGAAAGTAAAGATTCCCTCTTTCGGCTGCTGTAAACCGCATTTGTTTGCAATTTTTGTTTCACGCCATAAACCTTTGTAAAGTTCGTACAAAATTTGTTAATTTGATGAATATCCATTTCTGTTTGTATAATTCCGTAAAAAATCAATCTGATCAAAATATTAATTACCGATCTTAAAAGTAAATATTTTAAGCTTTAAAATGCTTTTCTAAAAATCTCGTTATGATTATTTTTGAAGTTACACTCTTTTGAATATTTATCTATTTTTGAGGACTAGATGAATCTTTAATTTTTTTGCGTAGTGTAGATCATTAGTCTTTCTATTTGCTCCATAAATTATATTACAGTTACGCTTCAATTTGATGGGAAAAGACAATTTTTAAGCGTAATTAAGCATATTAAGAATAAAAGAAAACAAAACAGCTTCAGATATTTGTTCAATTAATTTTTTATTTTGAAATAACATATGATTTTGAAGATTATTATATTTACACAGAATTATTATACTTATACAGAAGTTTGTAGCAATGTTGCTGCAACGTTGCAACATTGCCTGTTTCAGAAATATTGTTATAATGTAGATATGCATTATTTTAACAATGTTGCAATAACATTTTTAAAAATTGTGAAAATAAATTAGTATAACTTTATGCTCAAATATATACTTGTTTACGCATATACATTTTATGATTTATTAAGTTTTATTAAATATTAATCACAGATTTTACATACATTATTATTTAAACTTATGATTAAATAATTATATTTGTATGAAAAATCTTTTATCAGAATGACAAAGTATTCCGGTAAAAAATTTTCATATTGCAAAGGTAAAAAGACGAGTCACCGTTAGTTCTTAGTGCTAATATTTAATGTCTTGAAAAATATAAATTAAAACAAATGTTTCATCCTTACATCAGGACCTTTTTAGTATTAAAATATAAACACATCTCACATTACATGCTATGTTTATCTATTCGTACCTTACATTATCAGTTAATTTTTACAATGCTCGAATTAAATTTCGATCTATCTAATTGTGTAGTGACAATAATTTTATGCTTTCTTATCAACATATAATTCGATATCTGATATTCTCTTATGATATTATCTTTATCTTTGTTTTGTAGATCGATCTAAATTTTTTGTAAACAATTATAAAGTAGGATATAAGCACCGATTCTAACGGAACCAGCAGATGGCTCTAGTATCGTGCGGATAGGGAGAAGCGAAATCACAGATGCTGAGTTCGTGGGAGAGGGAAGCGCATCATCCGTGTTAGAGGGGAAGAAGGAATTTATTCCTTCTCTCTTTCACCCGTTGCGTTCTCTCTTTAAACTATTGTCCTCTCTCTCCAACTCATTGTAAGATACAGTTTTTCTCTCTCTTCCATCCATTGCAGTGGTATTATACTTATTATTTGCACTTTCTCTTCCTCCCATTGCGCTCTCTTTTGTTTTTTGCACACGATTTTAAATAGATATGGTATTTACGATTTTTAATGATGATTTTTAATAATATTCTTATCAATTTTTAATCATATAACTTAATAACACTAATTATAATAATATTTTTTTTTATCAATACAAATAGTCAAGCGCGCTTTTTTATTGACTAATTCAATATTACTACGAAGATATGAAGAAGAAATAGCGAAGATATTAAGGATAAAATAATTTTAGAAGAAAAGAATATATATTTTAACATACATTTATTTATCATGTAATGCAGTATGTACAATATAATCTAAACTATAGACTATTAGTTCACATTCTATAGAATTTTTATCATAAATTTTGTACAAAGTGCTTGCAGCATCGCTTTTATTAGTAATACAATTTTGTCTTAAAAATGACACAAAATATTCGAATTTCTTACTAACCGTGCGTATATTGACTTAGTTCATAGAATACATGTTCAA